GCCCGGGACCTTGGGATAGGTGCCTCTGCTTTTTAGACAGGAGAGAAGTGGAAAAGCCAGCACGCTCTAGTTTCATGTGCGTGAAGCAGGACATTGCTTTCCCTGTGACCATGTCCTGAGGTGGTGGTTCGAATACCTTTGTGACTGGATACAGGTAGCAGGGTCATGCTGCTATTGCCAGGTCCACAAAATGCTCCTGGAATTGGGCAGGAGTGTCACCCTGGGAACAAGGCTGAAGATGGGGGTTTGACCCAGAAGGGTGCACAGGGGGGCTCAGCTCTAAGAGAAAGCATCTGCCTGAAGGCCTTGCCTTGCTCTGGATTCCCCCACCCAGGGGAGTTTCCATGCATGGAGGGCAGCTGGCGGAGGTACCAGTGCAGAGCTGATGTTACCGTCAAGCCTGTAGCAGAATATCTCTGCAGCCCAGCAAAGGCTTTGAGGCCAGTTTGACCATGCCCAGTGAGCAAAGCAACCCAGAGCAGATGGCATGGTGCTCTGGGCCAAGCCAGCAGGAGCAGGTGGCTGCCTGTTCTCTCTGGACAAGAGCAGTCTGGCACAGGTCATCCTTGACTCCTGCTCAGTCCAGTGAGAGCCAGGTGTGTGACTGGGGTACGATCTTGGAGTCTGTCTTTATAGCACAGTTATCTTGAATTATCTGCACTTCTCAGGCACGCTGAGGAGCTGTATCTTTTCAAGCTGGTGCCACCCTCACTCACACATAGCACTAGCTGTCCTGGTCCTTTGTGGGCAGCAAGCTGAGCTGTGAGAGAAGTTGTCTGTCCTTTTGAACAGCTGGGAGGATGAGAGGTGGGGGGAGGGAAGGAATTAAAAGGATCTGGGGGATTAGCAGCACTTGAATGGAGCTAGGCTGTGTCCATAGCAGTCCTGCCAGCATATGAGGAGTGTTTCGGGCACCCTGTCTGCTGCAGCTGAGTTGCTTAAAGTGCAGCAGCAGTTCATGTTCTTAGCTCTGGAGCTTCCCTGCTTCAGTTCCCCATGCAGCAGCCAAGAGGTCTCATCGCAGAGGCTGAGCTATCCGGGGCTTTCACCTGTGCCTCCAGGCCAGGCAGCTACATTCAAGTTAAGAGGTTGTGCATGGACAAGATCCTGGTTAGGGGCAACGCTCCAGTTAGCTCACAGTGAATACCAGCCCTGGAGCTCTGCATGGCACCCATGACCGAATACAAGGGAAAGAGGGACTGCAGTGAATGTGGGAGAGCCTCCTACAGCCTGCAAAATAGACTCAGGTATGGGAAGGAGGCAAGTGACTGGCCACAAGGGAGCTAGTGTTGGAGAACCCACTCTCCAGGCCTGTGCCCAGACCATGGACTGCTCTGCCTCCAGCTGAACACGGGAACACCAGGCCTGCATGCCGGAGGACTTGTTGCAGGGATGTCACGTATCGTGTTGCCACAGAAATGGGCCAGCGTCCAGGCTGCCATTGCAGCGATGCTGGCTCCCAGATGTCCCGTACGGAGCCATTTTGCAGGCACACTGTGTTCATCGCTGCCCTGCAGGGGCTGGGCTCTGTACCGCAGGGACACGGAGAACCAGGCGGTTCCCAAGGGATGATGCTGACTGTCACGGGGGTGCCAAGAGCGTGGCCATTCCCAGGATGGTCACGGGAAGGGTGCTGGAGCCTTAACAGGGTGGTGACCTAACCTCCCTCCTCCCTGGAGCCCCCTCTTTTCTTCCACTCATGTTACTGGAGCCCCCAAAGGGAACTGCTCTGCCTCAGAGCTGGTGGGGGCTGATGAGCCGTCTTTTCATTTCTCATCCCCTTGGTCGGGAGCACAGTAAGCGTGGGAGACAGCCGGGGCACAAAAGCAAGCCACCTGGGGTAACAGCACAACTCTGCAGCAGGCTTGGGAACAAAACCCAGGTCCCACCCAGAGCCTCAGCCACAAGCCTGCATTTCTTCACCATTCAGCATGGCTGGCAACACCAGGAGCACACTGATGCCAAAGGGACTCGGGGGGACTCAGCAGCAGGACAGGCTGACCCCTCGCAGGCACAGGCTGTTTGGGTTGGCAGAGGGGAGCTGCAGGGAGAGGATGCGAATGGAGGGACAAAGGGGGTGCATAAGGATGACAAAGAGCAACAGAGCATGGGAAGGAAGAGGGGGGTAGGCAAAGACATGGTCAATGGGAAGCTGGAGCAGGACCTCCCAGGGACCAGCCGAGCCAGCATTCGCAGAGCAGACTCACCTCAGGAGGCAGCCGAAGCCTGGCAGTGGGGACACGGGGCCCTCCTGTCTCTGCCCGATCACAGCCTGGAGTGGGTGGTGTTCATGGTACCGCGCAGAGGACCCTACCTAGCATCAGGCTGCGGATGGCAGCTCAGCGAGTGCCGATCCCCACAGAGGAAATGGGGGTTAAAAACAAAAGCCGCCCCAGCACTGTGGAACGCAGCACTTCTGCTTTCCTGAGCAGCTTCCTGTGCTGCGGCTGCTGCAGCATGGCTGGGGTCAGACAGTGCAACACAAACACCTCTGTGTGGCACACGGGTGAGTCTGGCGCCAGCCCAACAGCTGCATCAGAGCCCTCATAAGGAAGCAGCTAAAATATGAACCTCTGAGCTGACATGCCAAGCTCAGGGCTGCAACCCCGCTCCCCACCCTGAGCCTGGGCTAGAAGAGAGTGGAGCAACTCCTGACTTCTGGGGGCAGGACTCGCTCAGTCCCCCTGGCCCAACTCTCATGGGTGCTTCTCTATGAAGTCCAGCGGTGCAGGGCAGGGAAAGCAGGCTTGGCTGTGGCTCTGCTCTGACACTCTCCAACTCACACAGGGGTCAGGTGGCCTCGGATGCCATGAGCGATGGGTAAACCCTGCTCAAGTGCTGCTCTTCTGCACCTTCAGCATCCGCCCTCTTGTCTCTTGAAAGAGAACCAGGCCTATGCCCCTGAAATCAGAGCAATGCAAGGACAATTTCTCATTGAAAAAAGTCTTGAGAGGGCAAGAGATACAACTCAAACAGCTGTCCTGTGCGACTGAGTTGACAGGTGTCAGTCTAGTGCTGATGGGATTCGGGGGACAGCCAAACAGGTGCTAGGCCTTACCTAGACCCCGGGACACCTGGCAGATTGCTCCCTGCTGTGTGCCCCGCTCTTTTTAAAACTGTGAACAGGACATTTCTCTCCCCAGTAACAGAGCCAGAGAAGCCAACCCAACATTGCAGGGCTCCTGAGTCAGAGCTGGAGAGAGAAGAGGAAGTGAGAGCATGGATGGAGGCGGAGGCAGAAATGGGTTACACGTGTAAATCCCAAAGGGTTCATTCAGGTGGGGCTACAGTAGGGCCCTGCCAGGCAGATGCCTTCCTCCCCATCACTAGTCACTGCTCAGCCCTCAAGGGAGTTTTACAAGCACCAGAATATTTTCCATCAGGCCCTTACCGAGTTGGCAGCGTAGCCCTGGCAGTCTCAGAGCATGGCGGGCCCTCAGGGACTCTGCCTGTAACACTTACAAATGTGAGCCCCAGCTCCCACTCTTTCTTGCAGCTTAAAAATGAAATAGGCATCAAAGAATTACTAAAGGGGCAGGGCGACAGCCAGAACAATGATCAGCAAAGCACAGCTCTTCTAGGAACCTGTGCTGCAAAACCTGAGCTTTCATTGGGATCGAGGTGAGAGATAGAGGGAGCAGGAGAAAGCCTCTACCCCTGTAATTCCCAGCCACTGTGTTGCAGCACTAAGATCCTTTTAAGGGTGCTGCACAATACTAGCGCTGCTAGCTGTGCAAGCTCCTACACCATTCACAAGATAAACTCAAGAGATTCAAACAGGAATCCAGTGTCAAAAACCACCTGACCTGTTCTGGTCTTTCTGAGTTCTTCGCAGCAGCAAGCTGCTCTACTCTTTTCGGTAGCCCTAAGAGATGGCATTTTCCACATGGACCTCAAATCTAACAAGGTTGAGAGCCACTGCTCTAGCCCATCAGACTGAAATAAATGTATATTCCTGCTCCATGTATGAGTGAGTCTCCAAGCCTGGAGAAGGACTAGGACAGCTCTCAGGGCCTATTTCAGTTCCAAGCCAAAGCAGAAAGAGGAAGTGCCATGTACAAAAACACTCCTCCAGTAATGCCAACTGTCATGAAACCATCGCAAGACTCGGGATTTCAAAGTCAAAATAACTCCAACTTGTGATCTCCCAATCCCACCCTCAGATCTCCACATTTTCCCAGCTGGTAAGCAGGGGGGACAGATTGAGGCCCTCGCAGTGAGGGAGGGAGTGGGGCAGGAGCAGGAGCAAGGGCTGGGATGAATGAGTCCCGAGTGCCGGGGGAGGGGGGGGAAGGCCTGCTGCGGGCTCCGGCTCTGCACCCTGCTGCCTTGCCCTGGGAGCTCAGGCGCGACCCGTGCGCCTCCTGCTGCTGGGTGGGCAGGGCATATGCCGCACGGCCAGCACACCCCACATCCCTTGCCCACCCGGCAAGCAGGAGTGGCATGGTGTGGATGAGCTCCTGGGGCAAGGCAGCAGGACGCAGCGGGCAGCTCACCTCTGCCCTGCAGTGGGCACATGCCCCCATGCCTCCCCTGGGGGTGTATGCTGCTGCAGGGCGGCCCACTGCCCTCCCCCGCACCTATGGATGACCCACCCCGGTGCCCCATTCGCCCCTGCCCCAATCCCTCCCTCACTGCGGGGGCCTCGACCTGCCCCCCCGCCTCCTTTCCCTCCACCTACTAGTTGGGGCTGTCTGTGTCTCTGCGTGAGTCTGCTCCCCACTCCCAAACCACAGCCTGCCTAGCCCTGCTGCTGCTTCTCACTCCTGACCCACTATACCCCGCATCCTGCCAAGGTGTGTGGGGACCCCCCTTTCAGGGCTCCAACCGCTCCCCCACACAGCCCCCGCCACCTCCACAAATAACCGCCCCCCACACACACACACACACACACCAAAAATAGCATCACATGATTTATGTGCCAATCTCTTGATTTTAAGAGCTCATCCCGTGATTTTTGGCACGGTGGGGTTGGCAATACTGCTCCTCTGATGAGGATCTCACTTCTGCACCAGGCAGCAGAGCACGGTTACTGAGAGCACCGCTGCTTGCATCTGCCACATTCGCCATAGCCACGGAGACAGCAGTGCCTGCAACGCTCCATTTCCATGCCTGTGCCTACTGCGTCATGAAGGGACCTGGATGCACAACAAAGGCAGCTCTGGTCCAGAAGCCTGGATGGGTGGGAGGACAGAAAGGGCAGCTTCCTTCATCACACGAGAGAGTAATTTATTGTCAGTATTTACAGGAAAAATAAGACGCAGGCTGGGGAAGAGGTCCCAGCTGCTCCTGTCTCCTGTCATTTAGGGCAAAGTCCAGTTCTTCTCCTGGAGCCCTGTACATCCTCCTGCCCCGGCAGGAGGGCGCAGGAGGCGTCTGGACGCGGCCCCCTCCCTAGAATTTCCTGTTCTTCCTCAGCTTGTTTTGGTGCTGGGTGTTCAGCTTCCGCAGGAGCCTCCAGTACTCGCGCGTCTCAGGGTCCAGCTCCTCCAGCTTCTTGGGCGGGCCGACGTACATCTGGAACAGCCTGGGAGCCAAACACCGCGGGCGGAGAGGGAACACATTAGCGCTGGGCCTGGGCCCAACTCCCCAGCTGCGCCCGCGGGCTCCACCGTGCCCCACGCCCCGCCGTGACCGGGCAGTGACTCGCGCTATTCGGGCTGCTCAGCACCTTCCATGATTGAGCCTTTAGTCTTAAGG